GAGGGTTCATTTGACACAAGCCAGTTGGTTATGGTGTTAGATGTAAATGTGTCAGAGAGAGTCACGTCTAAGACCTCATGTCTGACGGCGTTAATATAAAAGTGGGTTTGTTACCTTTGTTGATAATGTCTACGTTGTTAGAGTTCAAATATTCAAAAAGGTACTCACCCCTTGCGTTTGTATCGGTGCTTCCCCATCCTACCTGGTGATGGGCGTTGGCGTCCGCCCCGATAATGTAGTGTCTGTTTCTCGCTCTGCACCACGTAATGAGTCGTTGGACGATCTCTGGCGGTGCTGAGTTATCATCACCTGGAAAGTAGGCTGAGGCTATGAGAATATGCCTCCGTTGGCACTTCTACTAAAGCAGCTGCCAAGTCTTGTGTGATGAACTCTAGAACAGGTTGTGAAAATAGCTGATTTCCGTAAAAACTTCCTAAAATCACTTTTTTAAGCAGAATTCAGTGACGTTTTCAGTTTTTTTTCTATTGGGTCTCAGTTTCAAAATATTGACCAAAATCCGATTTTTTTCAATTCTGCTTGAAAAAGTGGTTCTAGGAAGTTTTTACGGAAATCAGTTATTTTTATAAACAAAAAAGTTATGAAGATTTCACAGTATTGCTCAAAATCGAGAATCGCCCTCTAGCGGCTAAACGGTTGAAGATATCAAAATGCGGTTTGCACCCATCAAAATTTCAAGAAATTGAAGCCTCGGAGTGGGAGGTTCATTTTTTTGTATCTCGCTCAAAAATTGACGTTTCCTATTAAAACCATCCAAATTCGGACACCCTGTACATACGACCCACACTGTAAAAGCTTATTTTCTCCAAACGTCAAAAAAACCTCACTTTGTTAAGCCCTGTCAAGATGTCAGAAATTTAATTTCTATGCTGTTAGGTAAATCTAGCGGGTTAACACCTGTCGAGGTGGTAGAAGTTTAATTTCTATGCTGCTTGGCAACCCCAGCGACAGCAAAAGTACTTTTAGTGCCGCTCGTACTTTTACTGCCGCTCAACCATTCAGTTACCCTCGAGCTTATTCCATTCGTTTGGAGAAAAAGTAGCGTGTTGCATACGGAGTAGAAGCACTTTTTTGTGCTTCAGCAGTATTGCAAGCCTCACTACGTTCGGCTCACAAACCTACTGCTTCAGCACAAAAAAGTAAAGCTTCTACTCCTAATACAATAATATACTATTACATCACTCATTTTAGCCTGTTTGAGATAGGTACGTAATAAGTTGTATTATCTTACTTAGTGATGTAATAAGCTCATTACATAACTAGTGTTCCCCTATTATGAAAAATAGCTATAAGTTTTTTGTTTATCAATTTTTTTTATTTCTGTGAAAACACCTTCGGGCTACTTTTTTGAGCACAGTCCAGTGGCGTACTCAGTTTTTTTTCTACACTGCCGAGCATGAAATTAGGGTCATCCCATAATTTGCAAGCAAAACTTGGGGCAAAACAACAAGAACTTTTTCAAATTCAAGCAACTACGACAAAATCATCGCATAAAGTTAGTGAACTTTACACCAAAAAAAAAATTTTTTTAAAATAATTGCAAATTATGGGGTGACCCTAATTTTATGCTCGGCAGTGTATTTCGCTCCCATTTTGAGATAGCGACCAAGGTTCAGTGGCGGCGCCAGGGTTTTACGTTAGGGGGGGCCAGGCTGGGCCAGAAAAAATTAAGGGGGGCACTTGTTCTTACTTTATTGCTTTTCTTCTTTGAAATAAAAAATGGGAATTGCAAAGTTTACCCGTATATTTTTGCACTCCACTTGAACAGCTTAATTGAATGTATCAAAAAGGTTTTTATTTGGATTTTGTATACAGGGTGTCCGTTTTTCGAGGGCAACCATTGGAATATAGGAAACGGTAAAAGATAAAAAATCGGAATCAATGGCCAAATGTGTTACTGCTTTTAGGAGATCAAGAAACTCTGAATACAATTCATACAAATGCAAACCTCTATTTAAAAAAATAAAGTTGATGATGATCGGCAAAAGACGAAACGTCGGATTTCAAATTTGGTTACACCATTATGTAGAGGGGAGAAAGGTGCCCCAATAAAGTGAAGTTTATTTGAAATACCTTTACAAATGAGTCCAGGAAAATATAGAAATGATTTTACAAAATTTTGATTTCCATGTATCTCCGGAAGTATTCGGAATTTTCCAAATTTCGAAGTAGCGTTTTGTTAAGCAAGAAATTGCGCAACTTTGTCCCAATTTAACCGAACCTGTATCTCTTACCGTTTCCTATATTCCAATCATTGCTCTCGAAAAACGGACACCCTGTATATAGGTAAATCTTCTTGATACCTATTCAATTAACCGTTCAGGGTCGATTTCTCGATAGCTAGTCCAGGGTAAACGTGTCCAATTGCAATGTTTACCCTGGAGTTATGGTTAACTGCTCTGACCCGGGGGTGACTTGCTTGCTATTGAGAAACCTTCAGGTGAGGTGCCAAAAATACACAGGAAAACCCTGTACCTTGTCGACACAAATATGTTTGGGGAAATCCCAGAAAAGCGAAAGCATAGTCGCGGTTGCCTGGCTCCCACCAAATATCAAATTAACCAGAGAGCAGAGGTTACTCATGTTGCATTGCATTGTTGTCGACATGAGGGCAAGTTTTCAGGGGGGGCCAGCTAAATTTCAGGGGGGGCCCCGGCCCCCCCCTGGCGTCGCCACTGCCAAGGTTCGATTTTTTTAAATAGAACATCCTATATATTAATAGCTCATTGGATAGCTCTGCTTTTGCTGATTTCAATGATATAAAATTCGATAGCTTTATCTTTAACAGTTTTCGAGAAAAAGAATTATATTTGTTTCAGTCATAAGAAATAATGTGTTAGAGAGAGATCGTCCTCATTTTCCTTACAGATATAAAATCCTTTTTTAACACATTGGTTCTTATGACTCTCGAAAACTGTTAGAGATAAACCTATCGAACTTGATATCATTGAAATCAGCAAAAACAGAGCTATCCAATAAGCTATCAATATATAGGGTGTTTTATTTAGAAATATCGGACTTTGGTCGATATCTCGAAATCGAAGCGAAATAGAAAAATGCAAAAAAACTAAGTATGTTTCCTGTTAAAACAGTCCAAATTGCAGCACCCTGTACAGGGTGTTTTTTTTATATATTGACTCCCCACCTACAGCCTTTACCTTTACAGGTAGAAGAAAGGTGCAAATACAAAAGTTGTACAGTTTTGGCTAAATTTTTAGAATTTATGATTAGAAACAAACATTGGATGTCATAAATGTGAAATTTTGCATGTTTTCAGCTTTTTTCAAATGGGAGGCCCTAGATTTGGTTCTATATTCTTGAAGAGCACAATGCCCCGATTCCAAAAATATATAATTTGTCTATATTTGGTTCAGCAGTCTCTTATATATTTGGCTTCAAAGATTGTAAAAATATACTTGAGGTACTTGGTTTCTCTGATGGTATTTTTAAAATTTTTAGAACTAAATATGCTGGAGATGTCACAACCTAATATAGACAAACTATATATTTTTGGAATTGGGAAATTGTGTTCTCCAAGAATATACAACCAAATATAGGGCATCTCATTTGAAAAAAGCTGAAAGCATGCAACATTTCACATTTCTGACATTCAATTTCTGTTTCTGACCATGGAATCTAAAAATTTAGCCAAAACTGTACAGGGTTATCCAACGAAAGTGCTTTCTACCTTATATACAGTGGCGTAGCCAGTAGGGGGGCAGGGGGGGGGGGGGGCGACGGCCCTCCCCGCACGTATGGCGCCCCCACCGCTCTTGAAAAACAAAAGCAAAAAATAAGAAATAAAATTATGCTGTTTCTTATTTATTTTATTTTTATTGACCTCTTCACTCTTTAATCTTTATCGTAAGTCGGCATTGTCGGCAAATGGTTCAGTTCGATCAAAGGAAAGGTGATAGTTTCTGTTTTGATGTTTGATGTGATATTTGTTTATTGGGTTGGGTGGGGCTGTCATCCATCCGGATTTTCCCGGATGTGTTCTAGTTTTCAAGGCGTCCCCAGAGATGTTGTAAGGCTTAAACTACTTAAATGTTTTTCGGCCCGCCACACGAAAAAAAAAAGTTTATGAAGGCTTCAATAAACTTTTTTGGACGTGGCATTCGAGAAAACTTTTCGCCTCCGGCGGCGCCCTGTGTTTGCCCCCTCCGCCCCGCAAGGGTGGCTACGCCACTGCTTATATACCTGTTAATTGAAGAGGTACAAAAAAATGTTAAATATAAAAGTTGTTGGGATTTTTATGAGGAATAAGGAGCATTTATTTAAAAAAAAATGGAAAGGCGGGTTTAGAAAATATAGCAAAAGATTTAACATTTCTTGCTTAATTTAAATGGAATGACCCATTTTAGAATATGTTTTCGGATTCGACATTAAATTTGAGCCCTGATATATGTTACATGTCCTATAGTTAAATGTAGCAATTTTGGAGATATCACTAATTAATAATTTTTCAAAATTAATTACGAAAAAAATGATATTTCATCGTTGGAAGCTGGAAAGAGTAATAGGTTCCCGTCTAGTCTGGCTTTTTACTATTGTTTTTAATTATTATATTGAAAATGTGTCCAATATTAGATCAAATACGCTAAATTTTGCTTTAATCTAGCCTCACCTGGTTCACCTTTTACCAAGGTAAATTACGTGAAAGGTGAAGCTGGATTCAAGCAAAGTTTTGCATATTTCATCTAATATTTAAAGGTAAAGGCTATAGGTTTTGGTACCATTAAATAAAAAAAACACCCTCTACCTAGTAAATTTGTACTAAGTGGTACGCCCTCCAACGTTTCCTGTGCGTCCGTCAGCAGCTTGTTTGAAGTAAAAAATGTATTTTTTGAATTATATGCTCAAACTAAATACATCAAATCCTAAACCTAAATTTCGATAAATCAGGTACAGGGAGGTTTCAAAGTTGTAGCAAAAAAAGACTTTGGCACAAATTCACTAAACTTTAATTCTATTGCATATCAGCGACTAGCAGTTTTCAAAGCTGTCTGCAAAAAAAAAAACAAATTGCCTTTGGCACAAGTTCATTAAACCTTAATTATAATTAGATCAATATCAGGAGAGATCAGTTCAATATCTGGATCACAGTTTCATAGTTACATGCAATTTTTCACTTAAATTGGCCAACTAGGTCTATAATAATAATTTGTTTTTATGTTTCAAATAAATTTTTAAAACTAAAAATAACTCTGTTACAAAATAATGCAATGGTAAACTAAAGTTAATATATGTATCATTTCAACATTTCCTAAAACTAAGTTCTAAGTCATTGGAGCTGTCTCAAGCATCTAGTCTTAAAAATAATGAACTTTATAAACACGCTTATTTCAAGTCAAAACATTGCTACAACTAACGAAAAATAGAAACCAAATGAAATACATAAAATGGCTGACCATTTTAAAATCTCAAATTCTATAGATTAAACTATCCCAAGCCATTGAAGATGTCGCAAGGTTCTGGCCTCAAAAATATTAAATGTATTTTCAGTCAAAACACAGCTACAAAATGATACCATAGTACCGAAAAATAAAAATAAAAATTTTAAAAAAAACAACAAATAGCCTACGGAACACATTTTTGAAGGTAGAATTCTATAGATCAAGCAGTCTCGAGCTTCTCGTCCTAAAAATAATAAACTTATTCTTCTAAGTCAAAACACAGCTACAAAATGATACCGTAGTAACGAAAAATAAAAACGAAATCACAAAAATAACAAATAATAGCCTATTGCACACATTTTCAAAGCTCAAATGCTATAGATTAAGATATTCCCGGCAGTTAAAGCTGTCTCAAGCTTTATCAATGCTTCCAAAACGCTATTATTTTGAGTCAAAACACGGTTACAAAATAAACATCAAGGAATAAACATAAAAATGAAATTAAATAAAAACAAAGAACAAATAGCCTATGGCACACATTTTTAATGCTTAAATTCTCTAGATTACGCTTTTCCATATCCAGGAAATAATATATTTAGAGCTGTCTTCAACTTATCGTTTCTGAATTCCTGGACTTTTTCAACAAATGTGACGGCCTTGCCTAGAATCTCTCGGCAATGGGGACAATGAAAATCTTCAGTATCGCAGTGCTTGAGGGAGTCCTTCAAGCATCTCTAGAAAACAAAAAATTAAAAAAAAAAAAATACTACTTAAAGCTAAATGTATTACCAAGCATATATTAAGACTGCATTTCAATGTGACTGGGTCATAGACAAGACTTCTACAAATGATACAGATAAACGCTTCCTTGACTTTGTCTGTGAATTTTTTTTGACCTTCTTGAGCGACCTCCTGACATTCGAGCCATAATTGTTTGTTAACCGTATCATCGTTAATGGCCTTCAAAGCAGTAGAATTTAATTTATAGGCACTGTACTTTGGTTTTTTTGCTGTCACATCTGAATCAGTACTGTCACTTGTTCTTTTCCTTTTTTCCTGTGGATTTTTGGGCGCTCCTTTGATTTTAATTTTCTCTTCTTCCATTCTCTTCTTTTCTTCCTGGCTTTCTAGATAATTTTCTGGATACTGAAAAAAAATATGTGTGCACTTGAATAAAGTTTGTTTATTTAAGCCTATACTTATACATGAACAACAAATAACGAAACTTGAGACGCCTATTTTTTCAAAATAAATTTAAATTCAAACACAAATAATATATTTTTACAAAACAGGCATGTGAATATGTATACATACTTAGGAATTATTGTGAAAACAAGTGAAAGTATGAAAGTAATAGGCACAAAAATACCAATAAAAGAAACTAAACATAAGACTTTTAATAATATTTTTTTTCAATAATATTTTGTTATATTCATTCGGTTTATCTGTAAAGACCTTAACTTTTTGGAAAGAAGCTATGGATGACGCATAAAATTCAGCGAATCAACTGGTATTCCAAAAATCTTCCAAATTTAGTAGGTATACCATGGAAACTCAATTTTGAAAATCTTCCAATTTTCAGTTTCCAGAGATAGGATATTCTGGAAGCCTTACATTGGGAATGGACTATAACATAATACATTATACTATATAATTAAAAAAAAATTTTTCAAAAAAAGTACCGACCTAGTAACAGAATAGCTTTTGAGTTGAGGAAATTCCTTTCTGGTCGTAGGATGACAAGAATATAGCAACGACAAAAAACCTTAGTTGAAAATATTACTCGAAAGAGTCAAACGGCTGAAACACTAAAATCTCTGAACTAAGTTTAGACTAGAAGAAACACAAAAAAATGTAGTGGATTACCGCAAAAAACTTTAGAACTTTTCAACGTAAAGTCTGTTTTTTTTTTAAAGATAATTCCCCAAGTCAAAAATTTAGTAACTATGTTGGCAACACAAGCATTTTCTGCATAAAAAAATTGGAAGCATTGACAATTTTACATTGTATTGTCAACATAATGTCATTTTGACTTTTATCTTTAAAAAAAAAACAGATTTTAGCACTTTAGGTTTTTTTGAAGCTTAAATGAACTGAGTATCAGAGAGCTCGGGGCTAGTGAAAGGAATTAGGAAAGGCCTATGTTCGGGAGTGGGCGGGTAGTGGCTGGAAAAGAAGAAAGAAGAAGACATTCATATGCATATAAGATTAACTTGGTGCTTTCAGATAAGCTATTCTACAAATCGTGTATAAAGGGAGTGAAAAGCAGTGGCCATATTATACTGCCCTCACATCCCCTATCGCACTCTGATCCGATGTTCGAGTCATTGAAGCAGTCCAAAGCCCAAATCAGATCACAGAATAGTGCGATTACAAAGTAAGATGAGACCAGACCAATGTAGATAAAAGTCGACAGTTAACAGGAATGGTAGTTGAAAAGTATTTTGAAATCTGTATTGATTTCTACTGATTGATTAAATTGTGATCCAGACATTGATTTCAGCGATCCAACACTGGGTTTTCATTAGTCATATCTATATTGAGAAGGATGTATAAATGGCTCTATTCGGAACGAGAGTTGGAAGTTATTGAACTTATTTTGAAGTCCTTGAGAATTCAAAGTAAAATATCCTAGTCTTGCGGACAACGTTAAGGCTAGCCGCACATTGAGGACAGGGCAGCCTGGCACAGCACAGCGGAGGAACTACAGAGGAAAACTATTCCTGTGCTCTGCCAGAGCGATATCCGCATATTGAACGTAGGTAGTTAATTTTTCCTGTGTTTCCGTTATTAATTTTTAAAAAAATATATGGATCCAGCCGGTCAGTTAAACTTACTTTTGGATTTGGAAAAAGAAAATATTGTCTTTTTATATAGTTTGCATAAAAAATCAATATGGAAAAACGATTATTTGAGGAAAAAAGGCACTCATGGGGAATTCAATTTAATAAGTGAACTTGATGATAATCAAAATCAAATGAAAATTTCTAAACACAAAAAATTCTATATATTTTGGTGTCATCTTCGCGCGCAGTGAGGCCGCAGTCCTGAAAAAACTGTGATCATTTCACAAAGAACGCAGCACAGGCAGAGGAAAAAATTTCCTCCGTCTAGTCCTCACAAGTTACAACGTGCAATATGCGGCACTGCGTTTGTTCATGTACGTTACAAAAAGGCTTCCTCTGCTCGGCTGTGCTGTGCTAGGCTATGCTGCCCTCAATGTGCGGCTAGCCTAAATGCGCTTTATGTTGTTGACAGTGACATATAGATTAAATTAACAATGGCTCAGCATAAAAATGATATAGTCAATTATTGGATATAAATAAATAAATAAATAATAAATAAATTTATTCAATATTCAGATACATTGATTAAGTACCGGGTGATTGTCTATATTTTGCACCCACACCTATCTCACCTGTTTGAAGAGATACCCAGAAATGTCAGAGGTGAAAGTTGTAGGTAATATTAGAAACTTTGCAATGAAGTTAGTTACAAGTATACAGGGTGTGTCACAAAAGTGTGGCAAAGCAAAGTTAAACTTTTTTGAATGGAACACCTCATATATTATTGATCAATTGGATTAGCCTTTCAAGCCTGATTCCAAATATACTAGTTTTTTTAGTATTATTCCTCATAGTCCGGCCTCTGAAAATCCAATTTTGAAGAAATAATATGGATTTTTCACTTGAATGATTACCTTTATATTTTGTTGGTGGTCTCTATACATCACCTTTTTCGAAAAAAATGCAATTATTCCACCCTTTTTTTAAAACTTTCTCCCGGACTATTAGGAATAAACCTGAAAAACCTAGTATATTTGGAATCAGGTTTGAAAGACTAATTCAATGGGTCAATAATATACGGGGTGTTTCATTTAAAAAAGTTTAACTTTGCTACGCCACACTTTTGTGACACACCCTGTATACTTGTAACTATCTTCATTAAAAACTTTCTGATATAGGTTTTTTACGTTATATTTAGGATGACGTCACTTTTAGTAAATTTCTGCTGCCAACCTGAAAAAACTGAAAGTACTTTTTAACGCATTTGAAGTAGGGGAATTTCAAAAGTTTTTGTTTGGTAACGGCGCGCGACGATGCACGATTTATATTTAAAAAAATATAAACTTTGTCAAATAATGCCTGTCGATTCATCTCATTATTTTTAGTTGTCACTGGTTTTGTCAATTTATTATTAACTACATATTTTGTATACTTAATTCTAATTAAGTGCCAAGAATACCTTACAGCTTAAAAAAGTTCTTCTAAGAATTCGGTACTTTTTCGTAACATGTGAACTAGGTAACTTTAGAAAATGCCTGATGCCTGAATGTCAATCTCTTGGTTCAGAGGATTTCTTTTTTCAGTGTACAAACAAATATCTGCTGACAGCAGTGACAGCACTTCCATCATTTTCCGTTTGTTCGACAAAATTTAAACATGACATTTTCTTTAATTTTAAGAAAAAAAAGCGGCATTGACAACATTGTCTCTGCTGGTTTCATGACGTCATCCTAAATATAACGTAAAAAACCTATATTACCTACAACTTTCACATTTGACATTTCTTAGTATCTCTTCAAACAAGTGAGATAGGTGTGGGTGCAAAATATAGACAATCACCCGGTACAAATGACTTTGAACTACACAATGGATTATGGAGAATCTGTGTGTGCAGTTGATAATACTTATTGGCTTAACTTAAATATATAGTAAGGTTAATAAAAATAACTTATGGAATAAATAATTTAACAAAGGTGCTGAGTGTGAATAATCATCCAACAATTATTTCCGCTTCCTTTTATCCAACAGAAACAAATAGAAAAAAAAAATCGAAAAGAAAAACGGAAAAAAGAAAAGAAATCTAATTAGGATCGTTAATAGTTATTTCACTATTTACTATCCATTCTTTAATCTTATGTTTAATTGATAGTACTCTTTTGTTCTAAAGCTAGAAGGCAAAAAGTTGTACAGTTTAAGACCAGTAAAGTAAAGGTGTCTCTGTATGGCTGAAGTGATCACAACAGATATAATAACGTTCTGACGAAATGCCTTTCTAGTATTGAGTTGATGGGTTATCTCCTGCTTATAATAATCTGTTTTCAGCAAAAAACGAATTGCCGCTAGTACCTATGTAGAGTTGGCTATTATAAGTCAGTAATTTGCAATCACGGAATAATATGTAGTTCAGAAGGGTATCTCCTGTTTCTGAAATACATTATTTTAGTTACATAATTTTTGTGCTACATTCAAAGCTGACATAATTGTTTTTCGGGCATTTCCCCAGACAACAATACCATAATTCGAATTTGTTTTAAGGTTTTAATTGGCAATATGTTTCATAGCTCTTAGAATTTATGGATCAACCTTATTTTAGAGGTTACATATTCTATGTGTGTTCTCCAAGTTAATTATTCATCCATGAATACTCCAAGATACTTTAGACTGTCTTTTCTTTTGATAGTAGACTGACATTCACAGCTTAAAGTTTTCATGTCACAAAAAAAATCATGAACTTTGAGTTCTTGAACTTCTGGAAGAGTTGCCTGGGTTACAGTCAACGTATTCTGCTTTCTCAATAGTTGATTGCCATGTATTGCCTTTTACTATAATAACACCATAATCTGCAAAACAGAAAACCCCCTCCTCTCAATACAGAAAAGATACCATTAAGAGCATTGATCACCTGCAATATACCCCATATTTTATTCAAAGAATTGCAATAAAACTAGAACATCAAATAAAACCAAACTTTGGCTATATATTCTAAATTCATTGAAGAATGAGGGAAAGTTATTTTAAAAATTTTGAAAAAACATTTTTTTCAAAATTTTTTCGCATATTTTTTTTTTTGTGTTCAAATAGACTTTCCCTCATTCTTCATTATTTTTTAAATAATTTATCTAACAACAAGTTTTTGATGAAAATCCTATTTACTTCCAAAACCTTCGAAATCTAAAATTGTTGGATTTCGGAAAAAAAATTACATTTTATTCAACTTAAAATATTATTTGGCATCACTGCAACCCTTAGGTTGGCGCGGCGCGCGGTGGTAATTATTCAGGAAGCAATCTATTTTTAGAATCTGTGATTTGTCTGCAAGTGCCTTTGTACGGGATATTAGAGAGTTATTGGAACTATTAA